TCAATATTTCACAGGCATGGTTCTTCAATCTTTCTCCTTCTCTATACTACGAAATTAAACCACGCCCGAATGACATTTGGGCAAGTATGTTTTCATCTGTTACCCTTCTCTTTTTAAGCTTGTTTGTTTCTGTTCTTCACAATTTGTTTGGGTTGCAATTCAAGTGTTTCAACATTAGCTAGCTACAGTGTTGTACATGACGTGTTCTATGTCTGCGCATTACAGTAGAGAGGTTGGCAACTTATGGTACTGAGATGGTGATTATTTGTGATTCTCCATTGCCGGCATCAACAATCATGGAAGAGTTGAGATTTCATGGGTTTGATACCTCACTCTTCGTGGGAGCCATCACTAGAGAGGATTTAAGGTTTGATTTCTTTATCTTCAAAGTTATGGTTTATATGCACTTGCATTGTCAAGATTCATTAATACAGATTTTTTTAGTCAATTCAAAAAGTTGAGGTAAGGAATTTCTCATTAGTCGAATGGAATAATAAAGATTGTCTACGAGTCTGATTTGTGAACAAGAACTGGGTTTATTCATGTTTTGGCATGTCATATCCATCTATTCCATTAATTATNNNCATATCCATCTATTCCATTAATTATAGTCAATTAATATCTGGCTTGAACATTCCTATCGTATTGCTTTATTCCATATAGATGATGTAATACCATGATTGTTTTGTTTGAAGCAAATATAATACCTATAAAATGAAAACATGTGTTTCATGGCACTTGTCGCAATCAGGCGTAGGGCAGGTGATGCAGGGTTGGAAGAAGTAGGACGGTCCCTCAATTCCTTGAACTCGTATTACCGATATAATTTTGCCCGAGGTTCTATATCTCCTGAGGTATGCCAAATTTAGAGTTCTTTTTACTAATATTATGTTCCAATTCTAATACATTTTTTCTCCACTTTTTATGCGATAAGTCATTTCCTATGGAAATATTTGGGTTTTTGTTGTTGGATGTCTACAATTTAATATACATTGTATTGTCTCTTGACCACAAACCTACCTTCGGGGTAAGGTTGATGGGGATTCCGAGAAGGAGTCCCCGAGTCCAAATTTTGGAAGTGTTATAAAAGTACTTTAGGCAATATGCACGTGTATTATGGTGGTGCGAAACACAGAGACGTGTAAGTCCAAATCACATTGCAGCATTATTAATTGCTTCGCATAATACGGAATATTTGTTTAATCGATAGCAATCGTTGCTTCTAGTTCATATATAGTTGGCCTTATTCTATGGAAGCTTAAATCACTAGGAAATGGTAAGTAATCCTTATTCTTGTCGGAAACCTAAAACAGTCGATAACTTAAGAATCCACATAAGATCTAATTCTTAAGCTAAGAAAGAAGTCCAATAAAGGACTCCAAAACCTTCCTCTTTTCTTTCGTTTTTCCCTTTTCTAATGAGATTTGCTAGATGGCATGGGCCCTGGCGTGCCCCCCATTGGTGGGGGGGTGGGGGGGGGGGGGGGTTCTGTCATGTGGCCATGGTCAAGCAGATTTATTCTTTTTTAATTGTACTTGGAGAAATAGAATTGCTTGACTAACAACCCCAAGATAATTTTGATTCTGATCCAAGTGCTACAAGAGATAATGTTTGGGGACTGCAGCTGTAAATTTCCCTACATATAAGAATACTATTCCAAGAAGGATTTGGAGATACTGAATTCTTGCTCCTGTACCAGAGGGGATTAATCTTTTATGGTTATGAAAATGTAGATTCACAACTGAACATATTGACCATTTGAAATTTAAGGATGAAGAGTTGAACGTGGTGGTTTTAGGATGACGTAAGTTTGATGTTTCAAAAAACTTGGATTAAGCTTGTAAAACATCAGAGGCCCTGATGTGCACTAGACTACTATGCATGTGCATCCACAATGGGGAAAGCTAATCTCATCCACAAGGAAGTACCAGAGCACGAGGTTAAGAGAGCAAATAGAGAGAATTGGGGGAAGAAGCTTTAGTTATATTCAATAATCACAAGGGGATAAAAACAAGGAGTTAACCCTCTATTTATAGTGGTTTAAACAATCCTAGACTATATAGGAAAATAATGAAAACCTAATCAAAGTAGGAAACTAATAAGCTAATAATTTCAATCCAACACAAACTAGAATTAAAGATATCCTAACTAATTTAATTCCTTTATGGTTTAGGGCGTGTTCGGTAGATATTAAAATTGAAAAACTAGTCGTTATTGTTGATTTTTATTAGATGAGTGAGACTCAATAACGACTATATTTTCAATTTTAATTGGATTTTAATCTTTATCAAACTAGAACTTAGTGTTGCATCCTTTCTCTTGGGTTGAAAGGAACTTGACTCGGCAAGTTATGATATAGAAAGGCATACAATAGCTTTGCATCTATGTGGTGAACTCATCTTCATTAATCTGAGTAGCATCGCTAAAAGGAAGATCTTTCCAACACTGTAGAGCCCTACGAAAACCACAATTCTTCGAAGCAACAACTTGATCCTCAAACACCTCATCAATGATATTGGAAGGGGAAAATGGAGAGAAAGGAGCCCCTTCAAGGAGCGTGACCTATAAAAATAAAAGAAAATCAAGTAGATATGCATAAGTTCCAAGCCTTTTAACAATGAGGAAGGACCCAAGTAGATAGGGGAGACTCGTGGCATTACAACATTCTTGTAATTACGGAAGGGATATAGAGAATATGATATTCTTCGATCTTATCAATTTAGCCATGTGGTTGCATAAGAGATATTTGTTCTTATCTTAATTTTGTGATCATATTTCATTGAGGGCATATCAAGTCGAGGCCTCCACATCGACAAGTATGGATCACGGGCATATATTTCACATTGGTCGCAGATATTGATTACTACAATTGGGATCACCTCTCGACCTCGAGTAATGTTCAGGATTTGTGCATTGGGTGCTCTCTTCACTAACACCTCGGTCCTTGCCACAATCTCAGTATTTCATGGGCCAAGTTGAATGTATGCCTAAAAATTATCCTGGGTAAGCTGCTAAGCAGTCTCAATGCTCTCTTCCAATATCACTTAGTAACTAAAATGAAACAAAAATCAAACTTCCAACAAAATAAAGTTCGGTGTGTAACTTGAAACTTGAGTATTATTTGAGTGATAAAAGCACTGCTTTTGAGTTTTGACCCTCCCCAAAATATGAAAATAATCCCCTCTTTAGTTCCTCGTGTGCACGAGACTACTATAATTCTTTGATCTTCATTTTTCTTGGATTTGGCGAGTTTTTACCTGAACTTGTGTTTGGTAGAAATTAAAATCTATATTTTAATCTAAGTTAAAATTAACAATGAATTTTAACCACATTTGTGAGATCCACAACTTTTCAACAAT